CGCATTGTTGGACTTTTTGACTTGGCTTTAAAGGCGCCCCCTTTGATTGTGTGAATCAAGGAGGTCTTCTGTTCACCGTCCCTTACATACACATTGGCTGGAGCAACAAGATGGCGCTTGGATGCCAATATTTGCTTATGGAAAACTAGTATTAAGGGTTTCATTGTCTACTGTTGTTGTTTTGTTTTTTTTCCATGTTCAAATTAAGCATTTAAATCAATCAAACCTACCATGCTACAGGATTGGGGGGTTTGCCTGTAATTTTATGATGGAATTCGCTGCTACAGTATGAAGTTTGTTCTTGTGTTTATATAGGGCCATAAAAAAGTAGTGAAAATGGATCATGAGCAACTAGATCGTGCTAGCAGATTATTCGGGCTGCGCTCGCCTCATTTGTTCAAGCGTCGAGAAATTACAAAAACAAAGTAGACTCACACACATGAATGTCCCTCGGCTCCTTAGCAGTTGCCGAGAGTCCGTGATGTTGCCCTTCACATGGTATTGGATTTAATTTAATCATCGTGTCGGAAAATTGCTGTGTTCACAGACACATCGATCAAAAGGCGAAAAGAAATTGCGGATGATTAATAGAGTTTGGGCTGGGTGAGTACGGAGATGTCATCAGCCTTGGCTGAGTCTCTCTCCACAAAGACATTATATTAACGGTGTTTCATGTGGCTTCTTTTATTGTAACTGCTCTGGCCTTTATTTGAAGGACGACATCAGCGGAGTATTTGAAAATGATGATTGGAAGCAATAACGTCGTGTCTGATTAGAGGCATTTTGAAAAACAAAAAGCAACTGATTGTTTTCCTTGTGGTCATTTCATTTTCATCTCCCTTCAAGTATTTTGCCACAAAATGTGAGTTTTGAAAATATTGACAGTATATGCAGCGCATCCGACCACTCATTTATTGTGAGCGTGTCTTTATGGCACTTTGCTTGTCACATTCATGCAAGATTCAAGTATTGCAAGTCCACGACTTTTAAAGTGCCCCCTGGCTTTGGGTTTCATGGATGTCTCTATCACCTCCAGATGGGGTCGTCATGCTGGGCTCCCTCTGTTTCTGCATCATATGAAATAGTTGCTGTTTTGTTTTGTTTTTTCCCCAGGAGCAAAATAAACATTTATAGCAAGTTATCTAATTGAAGAAAGATGACACAAACTACTGTTATTCGACATACTTGGCGTCAGAGACATTGATATATGTTTGAACAGCCGTCACTTTATGGAGTGGATGTCTATTTTAATGTTGTTATTTTGAAGCAAGCCCATCATATCTTTCATGTCTGCAGATTAACCCTTTCAGGGACAGCGGTTACTACAGTGGATAATTTATCATGTTATCGGGTTACAGGGTGCATGAGAGGGTTAATGCTCTTCTTGTCAAACGATAGACATGTGTTGGTAAAGTTCCAGATTGTGTTTTTGGCAACAGTACACACAGGAGAATACACAGACTATAATTATGGAAAAGTAAAAAAAAAAAAAAAATAGATTTTTATTTTTATTTTATTTTTAAATTAAATTATTGAAAACCTGGGCTCACCCCCACTCACTCATTTTTAATATGCTTATACTGCATGTATATTTTATATTTATTTAAATACTTTTGTCTTCTACTTTCTCCCTTTCATAACTTTGCCACTATAAATTGGGAATTTCTCCATTGTGAGACAAATAAAGGTTTTCTTATCTTATCTTATCTTATCTTATTGGATAGTGATGAATATTAACGGTGGATAAAGAGTGTTGTGTGGTATAGATGAATGAAACCAAGGTGAATAACATTTCAGAACTTTTCCACCATTGATGGAACCTATGACCATGACAACTCGATTGAAAAAGAAAAAAAATCATTTTGAGAAGGCAAGTAAAAATGAACAACTGAGATAATGCAGTTGAACATGTTTCACATCCTCTGATAAATATCGTCAAAAGGATCTACAGTACTTTACTTTTATGGCACCATAACATTTTTTCCTAAATGTGTTTGGGAGAAATTGTTACGATCCAATGAAACCGAGGTTGAACTTTTTGGCTATTATTCCAAAAAGTATATTTGGTGCAAATAATACTGCTCACCAAAAAAATGTTTTTACCGACAGCGACGCATGATGGTCTTTCGTATTAGACAGGGTTGAAGGAATTAGGAACAGCTCCAAATACGAAGAAGTGGTAGCACAAAACCATCAGGCTCATGCTAGATAGCAATCAACAAATGTCAGGAAAAGCCTACTAGAACATCCGAACTTATATGGGGTTAATCAGGGTCACTTAAATGGTGGACGGTGTGTCCCGACTCCCATTTAACATGAATTTGATGGTGATATGTTGATTTTGAACACAACCACATCCCAGTTTTTAGAGAGTGTTTACACTGGTGCACTTATTTCCGTTATTTTTACTTCTGATCCATGTCAAAAGTTGCAGTTGTCATGGAGTTCTAAACCACGTTTATAGGATTGAAGTTAAATAAAAATGTGAGTTTTTAGTTTTTCTTGGGAGGTTTTTGCAAATGTGACCTATTTAGGTCAAACCAAACAAGGATGCAACATTAGCAAGGAGTTGGCCGATTGATTTTTCTGATGGGAGCTTGAATGTGTTAAAATGCCCTCTGCAAATCATCACAAATGTAAATAACAGAATCAGAATGTGTCTCCTAATTTGGTTAATTTGTTAATTTCCCTTTAATTAATTAATTTGGCATGTTTTCCATTCGAGTTTAGTGGTCAAATCAAATTTCGCCTGTTTATCACAGAAAACGTCAAGGTTAATTCAGGTATTTCTCCCCCCCCCCCTCCACCACCCTTCCCCCACACACTGATGTGCCATTTGAGTTATTTATAGATTCTCTGGATCTATTTATACACCCTTTGAGTGTCTGGCAGCTCTGACAAGATTGCCTTTTAAACTTCAAGTCAACTCTTTGTTAAAGCATGCTTGTAGATGGGGAGTGTTCTTCATTGGATCCAGAGTTGTCACGAGGAACTTTTTTGATAAGAGAGGGGTTATTAATGTCACTAAATATAGCAACAAAAATCACTAAACTGCCAACACTAGGACAATATTCCACACAACCATTTGATTGAGTTCTTCTTTTATTTGATCAGGGCTCTCATTGCTTCTTCCCTTGAGCAGACCGACTTGAGTAGTGCATGTGCAAAATTGAAGCTAGCGGGCTAACAAACTTTTGGTTTTATTTTCAGGTAAAAATACAAACCGAGATGCTCTTGTGATGCTTAGCAAATGTATGGTACAAACGGTCCTGTTTCCACATTTACAACCTAAACACCGAGAACACCGGAATGCTGCTAACTATATATTCCTGATACTAATTTTCGGTTAAATTAAGACAGGAGTCCTTGTTGCTGAGAGATGTTGCGAATCAACGTATTTTTCCGCTGTCCATTTATTCTCAACCCATTTCTTTCCAATGCCTCACTTCGACCTACCTTGTCTGCACTTCTTCTCAGCCACAACAACATTAAATAGCCGATTGAGTGGTTCCATATTTGCAATATTTTAAAGTGCACCTAAAAAATAAAATGTATCTGAAAATGTCCACTATGTTAAAGAAATGTTTATGTGACAACTGTCATTTGCCTCCAAAACCTATTAAAAGTATTTTTTTTGGGGGAGGAGGGTGGTAAATATTTCCCCTAATTTTTAACAAAAATCATGTTCATGTTCATTTTGTATCTGTTGCTGTCGCCATCCATCCATCCATCGCCTGCGCGCACCGCCAGTAAAACCATGTTGAGATTTGGCACACACGCGCACACACATACACGCAAGAGCTCGGCAGGCAAATGTAGGCCAGAAGCCATCTGAGGATGGGGCTCAGTGAAAGAGGTAGCGAGACAGGCGACGAGGAAAGTATTCGACAAAGACATTTATCTGGGAGATGGTAGAAGGCAGTTAGGACTTTTCTACTTTTAATATGATACACTATATAATTGAAATGCTATTTGGTACAGCATCAAAGCCTCAGAAAGGATGAACTGTAAAACAAGCAAACACAAAAAGTGGGGGGAGCAGTTTTTATTTGGGTCAGCTTGTCCATCGATTTGTTAGTTAACATGCTACTTGAGGTTCCATTAGGATCCAGGAGGTTGCATCGATACCACAATGACTCAGATGGTAGAAAAATTACCTTCCTGCATTTTGTCCACATTATGCCACGTTTTTCCTCCTGATCTCTTCGGCCAGTGGCATGCTGTGAGGTTTATGACTGGTGAGGCACTGACATCTCTGGCGTTAAAAAGAAAAATATAAACCCAATATATAAGATTAGACTATATTTCAAATTTGCCCTTTACTGAAACCTACCTCATCCATCCATCCCTATCCAAGCTGCTGATCTTGACGAGGGCCACGGGTGTGCTGGAGCCTAGCCGTCATCGGGCAGTAGGCGAGGTACATCCTCAACCGGTTGCCAGCCAATCGCAGGGCACACACCGAAAACAACAACTCACAGTCACAATCACACCTGGAAATGAGGAGAACATGCAAACTCTACACAGGAGTTTGATTGAGAATCGAACTCCGGACCTCTGCACTGTGAGGCGGACGTACTAACTACTCGACCAGCGTGCCGCCAACTCCGTTACAATCAAAATTGATTTTTTAAAAATATTTGTTTCTAAAGATTTTATGCTTCAATCAGTTTCACTCTGTTCAACAACGTGGTAGCAAAAGAAGACAAAAGAATTTTTAAATTCATGTCAAGTATACATTGTTGATGAGTTTTTTTAATAAAAAAAAATTAAGTTGGTCTTACCTTTATAAATTGAATGTTATGAAAGCCCCGATTATAAAATTACTCACGTGTCTGGTATCTTAACTGCATGTCTTATGCTTCAAACAAAGCCATCCATATCATAATCATGATTGATCATGATGCGATTAATTTATTTGAGCCTCACAGTTATCTCCATACAAGTGATTGGAAGAGGACTCCGAGTTCAAGATGGCGGCTCAGTTTACATGACGTCAACGAGCCGAAGTTCCCTCTAAGACAGTGCTACCAAATCGCGATGGAAAGAGCGACGTGCTTCTTCGACGCATTGCGCCAGTGGACTGCACCGCCATCTGTCGTCAGCAGAAAGGTACTCCACCATGCACTCTCAGTCACTTTTCTGGCTGATCCGAAAGACGAAATATGTCACACCCCCTTATTACATAATTTTCAACAGACTGTTGAACATCACCTATGTGCAGTACATGCGTGACAATAACAGCGGCGATATAAATACAAACAGCGAGCGATGTCTCTTGCGTGAGGGCATGTGCCATGAACTGCCTCCGTCAACGACTTTCCCTTCGTCGCTTGAGCCAAACAGCTGCTCTTCGATCCTCATCCAAGCATTTCAACGAGAAATATGCAAATTCAGCAAAGAACAAGTGACAACGAATGGGAAAGAAAGGCTTTGTACAAAAGCACGGTATTTAAAAAAAAAATCTTCTGTACTTTCATTTCTCAAGATTGAAAGTATGAAGACATGAAAAGTCTCACCAAAATATTTACGCCACAGTAACGTTCATACATTGCGTATGTGAATGTATCTACGAAATTGAAGAATATGGTTCAATCAAAATGTTTCAACTATTTAAAAAAATGCAAGATGGATGTGAAACACAATATTATCTTTTTTGTCTTTTGATGGAAATGTTGGAGAATAGTCACATATGGCCTCCTCTGTTCTTTAATCTTGCCTTGTGACATAATTATGTTACATTTTAGCCATTTTTTCGCTGACATTGAGTTAGTTACAGTTTATTTAGTAATATTTTGTATTCACATATAACATTGTGCAATTGGTCCAAAAATAACTAAAACACTCATTCATTAGTCAAATGAATTATTTTATTCTACATTAAACACTGTTGTATTTTTAAAGACTGGTGAATTACTTATGTGGATTCTGATTAATAAAATTAAAAGTGTGATTTTCCATCCCTCCATTTTCTAAACCGCTTTATTCTCACGAGGGTTGCGGGTGTGCTGAAGCCTATCGCAGCTGTCTTTGGGCAGTAGGCGGGTGACACAATTGTGAATTTTAGTTTTAAAATAAAATGTTTTTTTTGTATTTCAAACGTTTTACCCAATTTGTTGTCCTCATCTACAAATGACTTGGGCCATTTTAAAAATCCATTGCAGCCCTTATGCGCTGAAATTTGCCCACTCCAAATTCAGACTTTTTCACACCTTTCGCCCTGACATTCACTAAAATTCACTTGTTCTGTTCACAATCAAGGGCGGCACGGTGGTCGACTGGTTAGCGCGTCGGCCTCACAGTGCAGAGGTGCAGGGTTCCATTCCAGCTTTGGCCTTCCTGTGTGGAGTTTGCACGTTCTCCCCCATGCCTGTGTGGGTTTTCTCCGGGTACTCCGGTTTCCTCCCACATTCCAAAAACATGCATGGCAGGTTAATGGAACACTCTAAATTGTCCGCAGGTATGAGTGTAAGCGTGAATGTTGGTCTATGCGTGCCCTGCGATTGGCTGGCAACCAGTTCGGGGTGTACCTCAAAGACAGCTGGGATAGGCTCCAGCACGCCCGCGACCCTTGAATTGTAGTACATTGAGTAAGCATCCAACTTTCTGACGAATCTATTCCAACTATAGGTGAACCCCTCTGACACGTCCGCTGCAATTGTTTTGATCTCAAACCTGGATTGGAATGAGACAGAAATGCTCTTGAACTCAGTCGCTCATCTGCAGGTGATGAAAGAAGCTTGTGTTTACTGGTACTCCAGCCTTGCTGTCTGTTACTCTACAAAGGTCTTGCCTCTTTTGTTGAATGCGCACAGTCAGAGTTAACATCTCGCAGTGTTGTAGAATGTGAAAATTCGGATCCATTCTTGTAGTCTGATGTCGGCATTAGTTTAATGCGTTTGAATCACATTCAAGCAAAAATCAAGGACTGGGTACTTTTTTTTTTCTGTGTACCTTCATACGAAGATATTCTGTTGAACAAGTTGGAGAAATGACCAATTCTACATTGAAAATGAACTCTGAATCAGAATCAGAATCATCTTTATTGGCCAAGTATGTAGAACACACAAGGAATTACAGTGATCCCTCGCTCTAACGCGGTTCACTTTCCGCGGCTTCGCTGTTTCACGGATTTTTTTAGTGCAGTTTTTTTAATGCTTTTAAACAGTGAATTGCGTTCTGCATCCTGATTGGCTAAGGCACTGACCGACGTGAACAGTCTCCGCACCTCATCTCTGTACAGCTTGCCAAATTTACCTTTGCATATTTTTGGTCTTTGATTTCATTGTATCAGTGGCGGATGCTGGTCTGTCAAAGAGGGGAAGCTCAATTTCGGCCTACATCATAAAATGTGTCAGTTTATTTATACGTGAATTCTACTCTCCGTTCCTTTTAAAAAAAAAATGAGAAGCTTGCCTTCACCATAAGATCGGTGATTGGCTCATTTTACTGTCAATCAAAAAGGATTCAGCCTCAGACCGCTCATCCAGTCATCATGCAGAAATCTGAATTTCCGGGCCAGCCTATAAACGCCCACTGTCCATAGACTCCCAGAGACGCTGAGCGTCCAATGGGCAGGACAAAACCAGCATTTGTCCAATGACTCGTCTCGTTTCAATGCATTGGGACAACCTACACTGAACTCTCGAGACGCCCAGCCTTCGCGCTGTAGACGCTCAGCGTCCACACAGTTTAAAGCACAGTGAAGCTGCGGGAATGAATGAGAAGAGAGTCGCGTCGTAACCAGTAATAAGAAGCTAAAAGTCTCACCAAAATATTTACGCCACAGTAACGTTCATACATTGAGTATGTGAATGTATCTACGAAATTGAAGAATATGGTTCAATCAAAATGTTTCAACTATTTAAAAAAATGCAAGATGGATGTGAAACACAATATTATCTTTTTTGTCTTTTGATGGAAATGTTGGAGAATAGTCACATATGGCCTCCTCTGTTCTTTAATCTTGCCTTGTGACATAATTATGTTACATTTTAGCCATTTTTTCGCTGACATTGAGTTAGTTACAGTTTATTTAGTAATATTTTGTATTCACATATAACATTGTGCAATTGGTCCAAAAATAACTAAAACACTCATTCATTAGTCAAATGAATTATTTTATTCTACATTAAACACTGTTGTATTTTTTTTTTAAAGACTGGTGAATTACTTATGTGGATTCTGATTAATAAAATTAAAAGTGTGATTTTCCATCCCTCCATTTTCTAAACCGCTTTATTCTCACGAGGGTTGCGGGTGTGCTGAAGCCTATCGCAGCTGTCTTTGGGCAGTAGGCGGGTGACACAATTGTGAATTTTAGTTTTAAAATAAAATGTTTTTTTTGTATTTCAAACGTTTTACCCAATTTGTTGTCCTCATCTACAAATGACTTGGGCCATTTTAAAAATCCATTGCAGCCCTTATGCGCTGAAATTTGCCCACTCCAAATTCAGACTTTTTCACACCTTTCGCCCTGACATTCACTAAAATTCACTTGTTCTGTTCACAATCAAGGGCGGCACGGTGGTCGACTGGTTAGCGCGTCGGCCTCACAGTGCAGAGGTGCAGGGTTCCATTCCAGCTTTGGCCTTCCTGTGTGGAGTTTGCACGTTCTCCCCCATGCCTGTGTGGGTTTTCTCCGGGTACTCCGGTTTCCTCCCACATTCCAAAAACATGCATGGCAGGTTAATGGAACACTCTAAATTGTCCGCAGGTATGAGTGTAAGCGTGAATGTTGGTCTATGCGTGCCCTGCGATTGGCTGGCAACCAGTTCGGGGTGTACCTCAAAGACAGCTGGGATAGGCTCCAGCACGCCCGCGACCCTTGAATTGTAGTACATTGAGTAAGCATCCAACTTTCTGACGAATCTATTCCAACTATAGGTGAACCCCTCTGACACGTCCGCTGCAATTGTTTTGATCTCAAACCTGGATTGGAATGAGACAGAAATGCTCTTGAACTCAGTCGCTCATCTGCAGGTGATGAAAGAAGCTTGTGTTTACTGGTACTCCAGCCTTGCTGTCTGTTACTCTACAAAGGTCTTGCCTCTTTTGTTGAATGCGCACAGTCAGAGTTAACATCTCGCAGTGTTGTAGAATGTGAAAATTCGGATCCATTCTTGTAGTCTGATGTCGGCATTAGTTTAATGCGTTTGAATCACATTCAAGCAAAAATCAAGGACTGGGTACTTTTTTTTTTCTGTGTACCTTCATACGAAGATATTCTGTTGAACAAGTTGGAGAAATGACCAATTCTACATTGAAAATGAACTCTGAATCAGAATCAGAATCATCTTTATTGGCCAAGTATGTAGAACACACAAGGAATTACAGTGATCCCTCGCTCTAACGCGGTTCACTTTCCGCGGCTTCGCTGTTTCACGGATTTTTTTAGTGCAGTTTTTTTAATGCTTTTAAACAGTGAATTGCGTTCTGCATCCTGATTGGCTAAGGCACTGACCGACGTGAACAGTCTCCGCACCTCATCTCTGTACAGCTTGCCAAATTTACCTTTGCATATTTTTGGTCTTTGATTTCATTGTATCAGTGGCGGATGCTGGTCTGTCAAAGAGGGGAAGCTCAATTTCGGCCTACATCATAAAATGTGTCAGTTTATTTATACGTGAATTCTACTCTCCGTTCCTTTTAAAAAAAAAATGAGAAGCTTGCCTTCACCATAAGATCGGTGATTGGCTCATTTTACTGTCAATCAAAAAGGATTCAGCCTCAGACCGCTCATCCAGTCATCATGCAGAAATCTGAATTTCCGGGCCAGCCTATAAACGCCCACTGTCCATAGACTCCCAGAGACGCTGAGCGTCCAATGGGCAGGACAAAACCAGCATTTGTCCAATGACTCGTCTCGTTTCAATGCATTGGGACAACCTACACTGAACTCTCAAGACGCCCAGCGTCCGTGCGGTCGACGCTCAGCGTCCACACAGTTTAAAGCACAGTGAAGCTGCGGGAATGAATGAGAAGAGAGTCGCGTCGTAACCAGTAATAAGAAGCTGATTCGGAACAAAAGTTGAGCGCGTTTATTTAGTCAATGACATGCCCACACAAGTGTACGTACACACACACATATTTGATCACTTACTTTTTGACATTTTAGGGGAAGCTGAGCTTCCCTTGCAGTCTTCGAGCAATTGCCTCTGCATTGTATACATAGTTCAGTATTGTATAATAACTGTAAAAAATAAAGCTGACTATCAAGTACCAAGTACAACTTTATTGTCAAATGTGCTGCATTTGAAATTTCGTCCCTCTCACATTTTTTTGCTTTTTTAAATAAATCCTACTTCACGGATTTCACTTATCACTGCTTCTTTTTGGAACGTAACCCCCACGATAAACGAGGGATTACTGTAGTCTCCGGTAGTACAGGCTACACTAGTATCAATAACAAGCAACTATGGTAAACAAGGACATGACAAATAAGTATGGAAAGACATTCCGTAATGTAAGGGTACCGTTGTGCGGTCGTACCGCCCACTGACAGCTGAATGGTGAGCAATGATCGTCATTTATGCAGCATTACTTTAGAGGCGTGGTAGACACAAACAAATGATCAGCATTTTCTCCCCAAAATAAATAAGATGACCTATGCAGCGTTCAAATAATGCCCACTCATGCGTAAGAATACACAAAAGAAAGAATGTGTGCAAATAGAGTGAAATAATTTTTTCGACCTAGTTTATTTAACGTGCATTACCAATAAAAAGGATTCAACGCTGGAATGTGTAGATTGCTCGGTTGTTGTATCGTAAAAAAGACTTAAATTTTTTTTACTGAAAACATTGACCTTCCGGTTGAGCAGACTAAAGTTGTTCTTTTGGAAGTATACAGTCAATGACTGTAGTACATCATGAGTTATGGAAACATGAGGTAAGGAACCAAAACTATTTTTTTTTCCTGAGACGTCATCTCATATTATGGACAGCATGGGATTTGGTTATACCTGATTTACAAGACCAAAACATTTATGCATAATACACGTGATTCTTTCTTTTGAATCGCATTAGCGATATTGAAAGGGGTAAGGGGGGATCGCAATTAGATTATTTTTCAAAATCGGTCAGCCCTACTTCAATACCAAGCCAAATTCAGGGATTGCGATTGTGCATTTGAACATGTAGCACTACCTTTAAATCGAAACGCTTCTGAGGTTGTACGAATCCAAATGTGACCACGACATGTGAGAATCATATGTCACACACCGTTTGATGCTAGATACCTTCAGTGTCGAAGGCAAACACTCGACACACACCAAAAGACCTGGACCTGATGTGCTTTTCTATTTGTATGCTCCTTAGCACAATGTTGCTGATTTGGGGTTATGTGTGAACTTATTCTCTTGGAGAGTGTCCTCGGTGACCTGGAAAATGTATCATGTGACCATTCCAAACAGATAAAAATCCTCGCTAACACGCCCCCCCCCCCCCCCTTTCTTCGCCCCCCTGCTGGCAGTACCAGCATGGCAGCACACTGCTACATTTTCCACTTTGGTTTACTCTGCTAACAATAAACAATGTTATCTTTTCATTGTATCTGTTGTCGAGGTTTCTCCCTATGAGCCAGGACTCCACACCTGGTCAAATAATGTATGAAGAAAAGAAGGTTTGTTCATTTGACCAAGAACCAGCCTCACTGTGAATGTATCACACCCAAAAATGCATGTAAACGAAATAAGAATCAAAAGCAACAATACAGATGGAAACATAAGACAACTGAATGTGACATCGAATTTAGCTGGTCTGGAGTGTGTTTTTGGACTTTTTTTTTTTTCGTTAGGAATGACTTATGGAGTGCTTTGGCATGGGTGATTGATAGACGATGGTGCCATCTGGATGCATTTATTAATTTCTATGGTATCACTGTTGTAGGAACTGAATTCCAATGTACACCAAGAGCGCCATGCTGTATATTTAATGATTTAGGATTACCGTCTATATTTAGATATGCTGTCACTCTAGTTTTTAATGTGTTGTTGAGTCAGATGCATGTCTGTTTAAGGGGCAGTCACAATGACAGATTTTTTTCTTTTCAACAAAAGGAGCAAAGACATCACCAGAAATTTTTCATGGGGGTGGCCAGAGTGACAAAACACCACACCGAGAGGTGGCCGTCCATGCATGCATGTGTGCATCATTCGTTATCATACCATCCACAGTCAGGGTGTCATCAAATAAAATAAGTATTTTGGGTTTCCTTTTCAAGACACCAGCGATTTACGAACTCACAATAGGAGCGGCATGGCTCAGGTGGTAGCGTGGCCGCCTCCCAAACTGAAGTTTCCAGGTTTGTTCCTCACTTTAAAAACAAATAAACAAATACTTTTGAAAGGCAGCAAGGTCGTCCAGTGGTCAGCGCGTCGACCTGACAGTGCAGAGGTCGTGGGTTCGAGTCCGGCTCCGGCCTTCCTGTGTGGAGTTTGCATGTTCTCCCCGTGCCTGCATGGGGTTTCTCCCTGCTACTCCGGTTTCCTCCCACAATCCAAAAACATGCATCACAAGTTGATGGAACACTCTAAATTGTCCCTAGGTGTGAGTGTGAGAGTGAATGGTTGTTCATCTATGTGTGTGCCCTGTGATTGGCTGGCAACCGGTTCAGGGTGTTCCCCCACCTCCTGCCCAAAGACAGCTGAGTCCTTTGTGAGGATAAGTGGATTTGAAAATGGATATACAGTGGTACCTCTACCCTGTCTACCGCTCGAGGACAACTGAGATAGGCTCCATCGTGCCCGCAATGCTCGTGAGGATAAGCGGATTAGAAAATGGATGGATGGATGAATAATACTGAAATTTTACCCAAAATCTCCTTGCAAAATGTACTTAAAATTTGTGAGTGAAAAAAAAAAAATTCGGTACCTGAATGAATATTCTACTCTTAAATTTTACTCTGTGTAGACTGGGACCAAATCTCGTCTTTTTAGAGTAAAATGTACTCCACGAAATTTACTGTAGTGTCTTCTTCTATCTCATGCATTGACACACTAGCTACCGGAAAAATCAGAGTGATCAGTTGTGACCGACAGGCGACACCAGTTTGCATTCTGCGATCACTGACTCATTCCTTTAAATCATATCTAAAAAGGACAATGTCACAAATATCTCTCAACTCCTTCTGAATTAGGTTTGTTCATGAGTGAGATGGGCAACATTGATATATATGTGTACATTTTTTATTTCACATTTTATTTTCATATTTTATTTCATGAAGCCATGACTGTGGTTGCTATGATAAACAGTGACTTTTCTACCATGATTTTTGCTCGGTATGGTGTGAAAGTAATGATTGATCGAAAGAATCAATTGTACTTTACTTTAAAAAAAAAAGTTTGCCTTTAGATCAATTGTACATTTCTTCACTAAATATGCTGTTAATATTTTTTTAAAACTTGTAGCACAGCATCAGGGTGTCTAAGAGCACTGCATCCATGTGAAAATGGCATAGAAAAAAAACCAAAACATTATTTTCCCCAAGGTGTGGGAGTGGCCAGGGAGGTGGACAGAGAGTGACAAGGGGTGATCATGGACACCCCTGCCCACCATGTAGCTCCGCCCCTGATAAGGAGGTTGCCGAACTCCATTCTGATGATCTGTTTTGGTTTTCTTTTGTTTGAATTGCCACAACACATCTGAACTGTGCCATTTGGGAGCAAAAATTTAAATCGTCTGAGTTGAACCACAAAGTGTAAATCCAGCCTAAGACTGAAAGTAATGCAGTTCGTTTAAAAGTGAAAATGTAAACTTTGATATCAGCTATGCCTTACGGTTCTCATGTAGAGTGAGAAGTAGCGTTTATTGTTATTAGTCTTCTGAGTTTTGACCTCACTGGCTCCTTCCTTCCTTAAGTTTACACAGCGGTTTGCATATAATAGCCTCTAGTTGCCATAGAAACCAGATCTTAGTACTGCTGTTTTCCTTCTCTCTCTCTCTCTCTCTCTCTCTCTCTCTCTCTCTCTCTCTCTCTCTCTCTCTCTCTCTCTCTCTCTGCAGGAAAAAGACAGTTGAATCTGAACTCTGCGCCCTCGTTTCATTTCATCTCTCCTCACAGCTCTTGTCACCTCCAGATCCTCTTTTCCTCATCGTCTGACACCCTGTTTTCATTTTTCCTTTTCTTATACCCTCGGCCGCCTTACTTCCCCGAGCTTAATCCGCGCTCACTGAGCTGCTGATTGCTGCGCCTGCACAACAAGGGGTCACTATGAGTTTATGCTTGTATTTACAGTGCTTGTTGCTGTCAGATCTGGAAAATGGGGTTTGGTCGAAACACAATTATCCGATGACAACTGAGGCCCGCTTGATTCACACCCTGCTCACGTACCATCAGAAGTGCCTCGATTCACATGTCCATGCTATTATTATATGGTCGGCTCCGCCATCCACGACGGCCTGATAGCCTTCTTGTCACTAAAGTTTTAGGGGAAACTTTGATGGTTCTCTTCAGCAGCACATAATGTATCATCAAAGCTGGGATTAAAAGTTTTTTTTTCTTCTTCTGTCTTTTTTCATGGTCTTGGCTGTCGGAAGAGTTGAGCTGGAAGATTTAAGCTTATTAGCTCAAAGAACAGGGGAAGGGAGTTTTGAACTGATGTATGGCAGACTTCAAAGATGGCTTAATCTCTCAGTACACATGCCCTATACAGGCTATTTATACTGAGGAGCAATGTTTCTTCCAAAAGACTTCCTCTTGCCACCCTAAAACAGCTCCGGGTATTATTGTTGCGAGTATGTCTAGACAGACGAGACTTGCCCGCTAATGTTAATTTGACAACAGGACCTTCCTTCGTCACAATCTTTGCCACATGCTGTCAATATCAGTTAGATCCGCTATTATTCAGATTTTTTTTGTCACACAAAGGTTGCTCGCATAATATGCCTCCGATATCTTAACGTGTTAACTGTGAAAAGGGATATTGGTGACTTGCCCCTTTATTGCTTTTGATTAATTGATAGTCCCCAAATGGAAAAAAAAGGTTGAAAAAAACCCTCACAAAAACTTTGCAGGTTTTGCAGTGTCCTGACGCATCAAGCGTGTGTGTGTGTGTGTGTGTGTGTGTGTATAATATATATGTGTGTGTGTGTGTGTGTGTGTGTGTGTGTGTGTGTGTGTGTGTATGTGTGAAAATGATCTGATAGATTTGTAGGTTAAATAAAAGGCAAATAAAGGAAAGAAACAAAAAAGTGTTTTTATTTTCAAAAAGTACATATAATGCCATTCTGTTTCATTATGTTTTAAAAATAGTTAGCAACCCATAACAAGATCGGGTTTCGAGCTGGTACGGGATCATGTCTACCAAGATTGAAGTGCAAACAGAACGCTCATTGTGTTGCGGTTACAGATTCGTTTGTTTTGATAAACGTTTCCACAATGAAAGCGCGATGCTCATCAATCCAATTCATGGCAGCAACTGAAAAAGAAACGAAAAACAATGGCATTATAAAGAAACAAAGCAAAATGGAATTATATGGTAAAAATCGCATTATATGTACTTTTCGAAAATAAAAACACTTTTTTGTTTCTTTACTTTATTTGCCTTTTATTTAACCTACAAATGTGTCAGATCATTTTGCCTGACCCTGTATATATAAAATACGCTTTGGCCAGTAGGCGGGGGAACACCCTGAACTGACTGCCAGCCAATCGCAGGGTACACATAGACGGTCAACCATCCTCCATGCTCACACTCATCCAGAAAGACAATTTCGAGCATCCCATTAACCTACCATGCATGTTTTTGGAATGTGGGAGAAAACTGGAGCACCTGGAGAAAACCCACGCAGGCACGGGGAGAACATGCAAACTCCACACAAGAAGGCTGCAGTCGGAATAAAACCCTGCACCTCTGCACTGCGAGGCCGACACACTAACCAGTCGACTACCGGGCCACCCATAAATATATATATCGGGCGGCACGGTGGACTGATTAGCACGCTGGCCTCACAATGCAGGGGAACGGGTTTCGATTCTGTTTCCGGGCTATTTGGTCCCGAGACCACCAATGTCAGAATTTCGTTCGCATTGCTGGCATTGAGTCGGATTTTTCCCAGTGAGCGTTGGACTCCACCAAGGCTGCCTTTTGTCACTGATTCTGTTTGTAGTCTTTATAGACAACTTCTCGGTGCAGCCGAGGCATTGAGGGTACTCGGTTTGGTGGCATCAGTATTGCAGCTCTGCTTTTTGTAGATGATGTGGTGTTGTGAACTCTCACTGGAGCAGTTTATAGCCAAGTATGAAGCGGTTGGGATGAAAATCAGGACCCCCAAATCTGAAACAATGGTCCTCAGTCTGAGAGGGTGGAATGCTGCCTTCGGGCTGGGGATGGGATTACCCCAAGTCGAGGAGTTTAAGAATCTTGGGGTCATGTTCAGGAGTGAGGGCAGGATTGAGCGGGAGATCGACAGGCGGATCGGTGCAGCCTGTTGCCGCCGTTGAGGCAATGTGTGTGGGAACATGTAAGCCTGCTCGTCCCTCCGCAGAGATGGCACCATGAACATGGACAGATTGCTTCAGCGGCAGCAGGGAGTTGGTTCATAGCCTTGACCGGGTCAGGGAGTCTAATTTTAAAGGTTTCCCGCCCTGGTCAGCTGTTTTTTGAGACATGTCACAAGGAAGCAGTGACAGCTCAGACGATGGCTGAAACTGTCAGCTCAGTTAGATTTTTTTTCTTCACTAAAAACAAGACAATTTCTGAATAAAAAAGAAACCGTAAACCTATTTCAACGAATAACTCAACTCAACTACACCGTCAGCGCTTCCAGCAGAAGAGTCTCCGAGTGAACCTCAAGCCTGTACGAGTCAAATGAGAGCCTTATTCTACACCACCAACAAAAATCTATTCGCCTCTCTCAGAGGGCAATGTTGATGACTGGTTATTACTGTACAAGGTTTGATCATTAAATATTTGAGTTCACGTGTACTGTTGTAATCTTTGTTTTAAATATGTAAAATATAATTATTGTTTACAAATCTTAAGCATGCTGACACCCACATACACAAAAATTGCTCGTGGTGGCAAATCCTACCTCACGGTTTTCACCTTTCGCGGGGGGTTTCTGGTGCCCATTAACTGTGAAAAACAAGGGATTACTGTACAATATTTTGGAAAAACCCACGAAATACGCAAAACGTGAAGCGCCGTGTGCCGAGGGATTATTGGCAAACACTTTATTTTTATATCTCTCAGAAAGTATTTCGATTTTCAAATGATGACTTCTACAACATTCATCGGAAATCACAATGTCCAGTAACCAGTGAGCTATTTTGAAAACAGGTGCAGGGGCTACTCGTGTTTTTTGGGGGGGCTAATTTGTGCCCAGGGGCACCATGTTGGCACACCCATGCCCATGGGCGGTCCAAAGAGGGCAATGCCCAATCTCTAAAAATTGACAACCTTATTCTTTTTTTTCTTTTTTTTTTCATCTAATTTTAATTTTTAATAGTAGCCATTTTGGTGTTAAGAAACGTGTGCTAGCCAATTGCAGGGCACACATGAACAATGAACAACCATTCGGGCTCATAATCACATCCAGTGACCATGTTTTTGGAATGTGGAAAATTGAAACCGGAGTACCCGGAGAAAACCCACGCAGGCACGGGGAGAACATGCAAACTCCACAGGAAGGCCGCAGCCGGAATCGAACCCTACACCTTTGCACCGTGAGGTCGATATGCTAATCAGTCGACCACTGTGCCGGCCAATGTACAATTATAAGTACCGTAAGATGTTAAAAATATAAAGAAACAATGGCCTAATTTTGTTTGGTGAATCTCATTTGTAACAGCCTACGTGTGTGTCATGTACTGGGGATTAAAAATGACCACGTCCACATTATTTGGACACAGGTTGGATTGAAAAAAACAGACCAAAAGTGAACCACAGTGACGTCGTGTGTTCATCCTGCTCACTTAAAGCTGCGATGATTATATTACATCCCGTGAAGCAAACACGACACAACATTTTTAGTGCATTATGCAGCATTGTAGATCGTCAATGCCACTGATGAAATCTCAACCGACAATTCCAAGTCACCTCCACAAACCAAATTTCTGTCATCATCCAAAAGCTGCATCGTTCCAGGTACCATGTCTGCTCCAGTTATCCAGGCTGCTGCAAAACACTCGGTGAGAAACATTGAATAATTTGCATGCATTTCTATGTTCTCGTGAGAGAAGTTTGTCACGTGGTTTGTGTATGCGCACTGGGAGCACGTATGACGCAGTCTGAGGAGAAACCGTTGGCGGTGTGTATCAGTGCCCAGTAACTTGTGACACTGTAAACATATTGTTAGGATTCGCCATGGTCTGTTTTCACCACAATATTTAGATTGACGTGGCATTCTTTCATGCGTTAGCGTCAGTATGCTAAGTAGCGCGTCAGAGTGTGTGACAACTGCTCAAGGGATGAAGATAGCACTAATAAAATGTATTTTCGTTCCTTGTATTACTGTTAAACTGCATTATTTGTGTTGCTAATTGTAAAGAACTTTGCACTTTGTATTTTGTAATATGAATTGATTGTTTGAATTATTTATTAATTATAAAATGTGATAAATTTTATTTTATTCCATCT